TCTCACCCTCACCATGATTTTGGGCTTCAGGGGCTTTCGGGTTGGCGGTAGGGATTCTGGACTAAGGGAAGGGTTTAGGGTTTAGGGTTTTAGGGTTTTAGGGTTTAGGGTTTAGGGTCCTAAACCCTAAACTCTAAACCCCAAACCCTAAACCGTAAACCCTAAACCCGAAACCCTAAACCCCAAACCCTAAACCCTAAACCCTAAACCCTAAACTTAGAATAGGGTTTCAGGGGGCCTATAAGGGCTACTATCAGGGTTTAGGGTTTAGGGGCCTCAATAGAGTTTGGGGGTATATTATACTATAATTGAAATAAGGAACGTTTGGGGGTATAGTATACTATAATTAGAATAAGGAGCCCCGAAAACTCTATCCTAATTGTTAAGGCCCCTACATTAAGGAAGAAACTCTAAAAACCCCTAAACCCTAAACCCTAAAACCCTAAACCTTAAACCTTAAATCCCTAAACACCCAAATCCAAAACCCTAAACCCCTAGACCCCTAAACCCTAAAACCCTAAACCTTTAACCTTAAATCCCTAAACCCAAAACCGCTAAACCCCTAAACCCCTAAACCCCAAACCCCTAAACCCTAAGCCCCCCAGTCTGCCTTATTATGGGCAGCCCGAAACCTCGGTTCAGACACATTGTTTCGTAATTTCGTAGGGGTTCATAACCTCTGGGGTTTTAGGGTTCGGGCTTTTGGTTTGGGGTTCAGAGTTTGAGGCTTTAAACTTTTTGGTTTAGGGTTTAGGGTCTAGGGATAAGGGGTTGGAGTTTAGGGTTTTGGTTGTGCTTGAGGTAGTTCTTATATACCAGTGGAGTGTTAGTTTTAGGCAGCTTGAGGGTAGGTTTTACGGTTGGGCGGGTTCGGGGCTGAGTCAGGTGTGTTTTGCACTTGGGGCGTTGGCCTATTGCGGTCTGACGTGTGATCTGTCAATTTGCCTTTGTGCTCTCTTTGTTTAGGGTTTAGCGGGTTTAGGGTTTAGGGTTTAGGGGTTCGAGGTCTTATGGCTGGCCTTACTACTGGGCCTTAACCCTCACAATTAGAGTAGGGTTTGGGGGTACCTTATACTACATGTAATGAGGGACCCTATAAGGAATCCATTCTTCAGGAACCCTTTTTGTACTTGAAGCCTTAACCCCGAAACCCCTAAACTTCGATGGAGCTCCAAGGAACGGTAGGGTTTAGGGTTTGTGGCTTAGGGGTTTAGGGGTTCAGGGTTTAGGGTTACGGAGGTTCCAGGTTACGTTTCCTTTGTGGGGCCTCTCCGAAGGATCACACGATGGACATGGTCGGGCGGACGCTGTTCGGTAGCGCTGCCGGGCGCTCAGCATGTGTGTGTGTATGTGTTTTTGTTGGGGTTTTCACAAAAGGTGTGTAATTTAAGAGCCTCCGGCTCAGGC